AAAAAAACGTATATTGATCGTATACTTATCATATATTTTTATACGATAGCTCTGTATTATGGAGATTTTTTAATATCACCAAGAGAGGTGGTATTATAATCCAACTCAAATGTATTGTTCTACACATTTACTATTATAACCCCTTAATTGATAAAATCAAGTTGTCATCAATGTAACAAACATTGATTGAGGATATTTTTGTTAATTCAACATTAATACGATGAAATAATTCTTTAACCAAACAACCGATTGGATTAAATAACTATTATCCAACACTCATATTGTGTATTACCAAACACTTGATAAAATTACGTATTATTCTAATAACCTATTTAATCTTGTCTTTTGTTCTTTTGTATTGTATTAGATTGTATTACTATATCTAATTCATCCATTTCTAATACGGCAACCAAACGAGCCCTTAGCGTTCCTTGCACGTAGTAAAAGACATTGGTTAATTTTACTGACGACAAATGGAGACAGGTTTATCTCATTTGCCATCATAATGATTTACTTCCTTAGTTACTCTATGGCGTTTATACATTGTTTTACAGATTTGTGAAGCAGAGATTAAATCCTCGAATCAACAGAAAACGATTGAAGAACTCGAAGCACAACTCCACGAAGCTGAGGACATCGTAAGAGACCTCAGAGAAGAGCTGAGAAAAGTGCAGGCTGAACTGGAGAGGGTGTCAAACAACAAAGTACAACCTCTGGATGAACTTGATATGGCTACTCCTGAGGAAACATCAGAGATTAATAGACTCTATACTTCTCAGACTCTCATATTCCCTCATCCACAATCACAACATGAATATATCGCAGCTTCTGACATGAGGAATTTATATTTGAATCCGGGTAATGAGGGCAATAAGTGCTCTAGTTCGATAGTTCATACCGGGAATTCCTATATGGGAAATCCTGATATTCCCTCGATAATATTAAGAAGAAAAAAGCCTGAGCTGTACAGAAACGGGTGCACCCAGAGAATTCGTGCATGTAAAAGGAAGGCATTGAGTAAGGCATTGTCTTATTCTGGGCTAAGTGTAAGAGAAGACGAAAAAGGTGAAAGGATCTGTACGACACCCACAATTCGTGCATGTAAAAGGAAGCCGTTGAATAAGGCATTGTCTCTTTCTGAACTAATAAATGATGTAAAGCATAAGTCAAGTGCAAGAGAAGATGAGAAAGATGAAAGGATCTGTACAACACCCACTCATGAGGCCGACCATATGTGTACAGAGAACAAGGGAGTGCACGCAAATAGCAGGCTTGGCAGCTGGTACAAAGTTCAGGCTGTCACGACCGTTTGTAGAAAAAGAAAGAGAGTTACTAGAAAGAGGAAATATAGAACACTCTCTTGCAGGTTTCTTCCTGAACAATCTATGAAGATGGCTCAAGCACCTGCTATACCCTGCTTGGGTTCAATTCCAGTTAATAACAATGCTCCCTCCACTGAAAACTCTTATGAGATGGCCCCGAGATTAACTTCAGATAACACTGGAATGAGCATACAGCTGGGATGTGCAGAAACTAATGGAAGTGATGCAGAGTTTCTTAAAGCTTGTGATTTTCAAAGCACAATGGTTAATGATGATATATTGGTAGATAAGTTGTTGACAATGAGACAACAAATTGGATCTACTGAGAGTTCAGGTGCTCCAATTGGTAGAATGAATATTGAGGAAGTTGATGTGCCATTAGCAGACTCAGAAGGGTCAAAAGCACCTGATACAACTCATGGGGTTCCTACTCAACCCGTACCTGATAGGATTATCAAGTACACATTCCAAAGGAAACGAAAAAGAGTCTCTTTGACTAGCATTGAGGGGAATAATTCTCTTGAAACAAGCACTTTTGAGGGAAAACCTGAGGAGAAACAAACTGGTTCCGTTGAGCCACAGAAGTCCAGTTTGATAACAGAATCATCTAGGGACAGTCGCCGACTAGCCCAGGTTGCTCGTCAGGTTTGTAGTATATATCTTTTACGTGTTCTTCTGTGCATATATGTATGCATTATATTGGTATTTTTTTATAAAAATACCTGTAGGACTCTTGATAATTTTTTAGGTTCAATTGGTACAGTTGCAAGTTATATTGGGGCATGGTCAGCGTGATTGCTAGCCCATCTAGTCTTTCTAGACTGTTTGCTAAAACTGTACATTATTTTTCTGTCGATAAGTAAGCTAACTTTGCATTACTATAAGTTTGTAAAAGTTGTTGATAAGTAAGATAACTCTCTATTATTCCTATGCATAACAATCAAATGTTGAGAATTTGGATATTGATTTGCTTTGAGGGGCCAATGAGGGAGAGGGGAAGAAACAAAAAAATTGTGTTGCTCTTTGCTATGCAACTTGTATCTACAGAATATATGATTTTAGCTAACATCAAGATGCAGGCTTCTTCAATGGTTGTTTGTTTTGAGGTCATTTTAAAGTCGAAAATAGATCATGACTTGGAATACCAAAGTTGCACCAAGTGATTTTCTTGGAAGTTTGTTGTTTGCCAATTTGGCATGCCTTCCGTGGGAGCAATTTGATGCTTTTAGTAATGTTTTGGTTGGGTTGAACTTTTACTAGATTGATGATCGTGGTTGAATCTTTTATCTTGAAGTGTGACAAGAGACCCAGTTGTATGTATATGTTAACTTTTGCTTTGTGTCTTACTGCTATATTGAAATCTTTCTGATTGTTCTTTTGTGCAGCTTATATCGTTGTCAGAGAAAAAATGGTGGCAGTAATTCTGTTACTTCATGCATTCACACAGTAAGGTGGATGAACTTGGAGGCAATGTAACTGAAGATGGTGTTTCGTCTAAGAATCCAGTCGAGGGAATTGCAGATCCTTGAGGTAGTAATTTATGGGCATCATATCGATTATGTAATGATCATTGGCGTATTGTTTCAGGGTCTCTCTCTCATTCACAGGACCATAACTTGTTGAAATTGACTGATTTTTAGTGGTGGTTTCCACCTTTGAGTATGTTTTATTGGGGAAAAATTTTCCACACACACACACACATATATATATATATATTGCTTTAAGTAGGCCACCTGCAGGGAACTAAGAATAATACTAGTTCAGCTTCCAGAAAATTGAGCATTTAGTTTTGCTCATTTGTTTGGTTTGATTACCTGTCTGTTGCACTTTGAAGAACGTGTAAAGGAAGATATTGCATTTCTTAAAAATAAAAAATAAAGGACAGTCCGTAGGCTATTACCATTGCATCATCTATAAATAATCAGATGTACGCAATCTTAATCCTATTTGCGATTGCGTGTGAAAAAGGTTGTTTCTGTAATTTAATTTCATGATACTGAATTCATAATAAGACAATGTTGCTACCACACCAAGACCCGTGATAAGTTTGCAACTAGTGTCAATTTTGTTGCTCAAACTTGTGATGATTAATTCATAATAGAACAGTGCAGTTGATTCGGGATCGAAATTAAGGCAAATTTTGTCCAACTTTCAATCTAAAATGATCATGTTGTACTTAAATGCATTAATCAATGAGCTGAAAAAAATGGTTCAAGTATAAAAACCCGGAATTAATTGATCTTCTTGGATTGTAATTTTGTCTATTAACTAATTGGTTCGTAATTTTTTTGGTGACGAAAAGTTATCATAGAAAAATCCTTCTTACTTTAATTCTTTTAGCTGCAAAAACATCTGTTTGGTAGTTTTGTTGCTGCAGCAATGTCTGCATACTGCTTACTATTATCAAATTGGGTAAATTACACTTTGACCCTCTCAATTATGACTTTTTTTTCTCAACATATTTTTTACATCGCACGCCCAACTATGTGATTAGTTTCACATTGTCTTAATTATTAACGCCCGTTACATATTTAGTAAAATTTTATGTTATTTTTTTCACACAAATTATATAATTTTTTTCACTTTGTCCAGACACGTCAATAATTTTCATCAAAAAGGATATCAGACATTTCTGATTGGTTGAGGTGAAATAATCAAGACCAGCCAAACCCATGAAACAAATACTACGATTTCTCGAGAAGCAAATCATCTCATATTTAGATTGTATTATTTAAAAATTATATCATATTTGTGTTTTGTTTATATAAACTGAGAAGGGTCGATGAATAAAAAGACTGTCGGATACATATTTTAAAAGAAGGCAGATGAATAAAAAATTGTGTAGTATGATCTGTCAAAATGAACACTTTAAAATTTGTCCATTTGCTTGCAGATCTCTACATTTTGCTTAGCCGGATTAATATTCTCACCCAGGATGTTGATTAGCCAGCACTTGCCGTATATGGGTTGTGACCTGGCTGGTTCAAACTACCTGCAACATTCATTAAAAAATATCAAAATTTTGTTTTCAAGCGGTCGAAACGTCGAAAACGAATCAGTGATAGAATCGAAATTATTTTGAGTTATTCCATAATATTTCAAAATGTTTTATAATATTTTAATATATTTTGACATTTGTTTCAAAATATTTTAAGACACTTTGATATATTTCGACCAATGTCAGTGAGTTAAAAATTGAAACTCCTATACATAATCATGTGCCTCACCCGACTCATATTGATATGGCCCACAAGTAAAGCAAAAGGTGCCATTGATGTTCCTCTACACCTACCTCACTCGTTTCCTTAGTGGCCCGGGTTGGGGTAGGGGTAGGGGTGGTCCTCTAATTTGAACAACACGGGGGTCGATATATAATCATACCATACAATATGCTCTCAATACCACCATGAACAACAATTTGGTATCGGTCCTAACTCAATATTAATCAACCAAACCAACAATAAATCGAAAAAAGAAAAAGAAAAATTCTTCTCTATTCACATGACCCTTCATTTCATATCAAGACTTGCACATTATAGTGAGCTTCCTTCCCTTCTTGTATCCATCCATATATGACTTGAAGAAAGAAATGAATGAAAAATTGAGATCTAAAATTCAAACTGAAATTAAAGGGTTACAGTATGTATGTATTGGCTGGCTCCAGTCATGTAGAGAGATTTGAGTGAATCGCTTCAACAAACCTGTAAAACTCAATTTTTTTTTTTCGTATGTAGTATGGCAAGAACTCCAATCCATAGCTTCGCTTCTCAGCTAATAATATGAGTATTACACCTCCAATATGTATCTGATGTAACAGCTCATCTGTTGAATGGGAAGAAGATAAACAGAATAGATAAGTATTAGAAGATTGAGAGGTGACAAAATCTACCAAATTTTCTTCATTTTGCAAAATTTCTAGATTTTTTAGATGGGGAAAACCCAATTATAATAGATAGACAGGGCCTTGGTAGAAAATTTCACTTGGAGTAGCTAAATTATTTCATCCAACAACCTGATATGCAGGAAGTAAAGGTGTATAACATGTTTTTTAGGTGGTCATACATCTTTTCTGCATATCATTTTTCCAAATAGGTTGGTCAAACAGTTTCTTTCTTATTTTGCCTTCGTTTCCCCCTCTGTCATAAGATTGGGAACTATTGCCAACCTTACTCTCTACCGGGTTATCCACTGCCATGATGACAGGAAGCCATGAATGAAGAAGGGGTATCCTGAAACGCCAATCTGTGGCTAGCTTTTGCAAAATTATAGTCAAAATGAGACTGAAACACAGAATTAAAGCCTAGGATGAGATATATTATGTAATACCTGCGGGTAACTCTGGCAGATGATGTCCAATGGCATGTTAGACGCCAGGATAGACATTATTTGAGACCCTTTTGGAGGAAATCACTGAAATTTCTTGGGATTCACTGTTCATCTCAGCCAATGGGTTCACAACAAACCCACCACCACCACCCCGCCAAAACCTCCTATTCTCTGGCTTAAATGTCTCAGTATTGCCATGGCTACCGACTGTGTTGCGCATGGCAGCCACTGATGGTGTACCACTGAAAGAAAACCGGGAAGTTGAAAATCGACCTTCTGTTCTCCCAAAGAGCTTAGAGCTCAAAAATTCTGCACCAGGTAGCTTGCAACAAATAGCTGCAGAGTCAGGATTTGACATCCTTCCAGTTGACACAGCCAAGTCATATGAGATCTCATCCAATGCAAGCTCTAGACCATGAACACGTTTCTCCAAGGAACGCATTCCGTTCTGTGAGCTCCCAATGAATCCCTAGAACAAGAAGAATTAGGAAAATTGTGAGGAAAAAACTTGATAAATAGTACGACACGAGAGTTAGTCAAATCAGTAGAATGACTAATCGTATTACAGTGTATGTTGAGTAAAATTTAGCTGCACATAAGTAGCTGATTAGTCCCTATAGCACAAGAGTTTGTGCGAGTTGATGCCCTGCCCTGCCAGATAATGTACATGATTTACTCCATTAAGATTGTAATATGAAAAATAGTTTGCACAGCATATGGTGGTCTTTGAAAGTAGTACACTTGACAATGAAATTGCAATTACAATGCAATATCCTGATATAAGAAGCTACTTCAATGAGAAAGCCTACTTGGTGATCACATGCAAATTACCTGGAGGAGATCTAACAAATTGGACTGCTGAGTTTCAATTTGAACAAGCTGCCCACGGATCAAAGATAAATCCTCACACTCTTTGTGGTTTCTACTGATGTCCTCAGGCACATTACTTGTGACAACAGTAGATTCCGACCTCTCATCATTACACGGAACAACGCGAGATCCAGCCTTAAATCCACCAAACTTGTGCATTCTTCCATCGGAGTCCTTACTGAAAAGGGTACGCCTCGTTTCTTGCTTTGTAGATCTATTTCCCTCCTTATCCCCTTTCTCGAATGTTTTTTCTCCACAACCAGGATCAACTTCACCAACCACTGCCCTTGAAGTAACATTTGGAGCAGCAATTTCAACTTTCCAATCGCTAGGCTTCTTACGGTCTAGTTTTCGGAACAATGCTGGACCTGTTTTCTTGCCATTACTATCCAATAGACTTCTCCTCCTGGCTGTAGCAGCAGAACCATCAGGGAAAGGTGATCTGTCAGCAAGTACAGGTTTTCTCTTCAATTGAGGAGCTCCATAGGGCACGTCACTACCATCCTCTGTCCCTATAATGGCGTGGAAACAAATGAATTTAGAAAAAAACAACAAATTTATACAAATGGCACAATAAATGCCATAGTAATCTGCTGGAACACTAAAGTGATCTAAACACAATAAGAACCTCAACAGAAAGAAAAAAAAGAAGATGAATGAATATTCAGGTTCAGCAACAAAAGTAGATCAAATAAATATAAAACAGAGAAGCAACAAAAATCAAAATAAAAACCGAGAGAACAATTCATCACAATTATAAAGACCATGTAATCAGACCACACAAATGCAAATGAAATGATCATCATAGATAACTAAACTACCAAAATTTCCTGAAGAAAAAAGGCCACAAAACATGAACCAAAAATATACAACTGAAAAAAATGGATCAAACCTTGACGTTCACTGATGGAACTGAAAGAAAAACAAAAATGTGTGCTAAAAAAATAAAGAAGCAAGAATGAACATAATGAATGGCAAAATTGGATCTACGATCTAATTTTTTTTTAAAAGATAAAAATGTATGGTACTATGTGCACAATGTGTATTGTACCAACAAGCTTCATCTTATTCCACACATCTTCATAAACATAAAATTTGAACTTGATTCCACACATCTTCATAAACATAAAATTTGAACTTCGATTTCAAAATTGCTTCATAAAGAAGCAAGAATGACCATAATGAAGAACAAAATTGGATCTACTATCTAATTTTTTATTTTTTTTGTAGAATAAAAATGTATGGTACTATGTGCACAATGTGTATTGAATCTACTTGCTTCATCTTATTCCACACATCTTCATAAACATAAATTTGAACTTGATCTCAATCAGACCACCAAAGATTGGAAAATATGTTAATAAGCAACTTGTCAATAACAGCATCAAAAAACAAAATAAAATGCATACCTTTAGAACAAGATTGTGATTTAGGAGGCGACGAGACCTCACCGGATAAATCAGGAATCTCCTTCCAAACCTCCATCATTTGATTCATTGTTTCCCTCACAACCTTCACCTACACAATCATCAACGCACACGAACAATCAGAAAACCAATCCACAGACTAAGAAATCAATTCAATTCAATATTAACCTTGTCAAATCTCTTGGCCTCAAAGGTCTTCATACACGAAGCCTTAAACTCCGACAAAGCATCCCTCTCGACCATACCCAGTTTGATTAACGCCTCCGCAGCGGCCTTCCTCGCCGCCCAATCGTCACTGCTCAGGAACTCGACTAAACACGACACTAGATTTCTCACCAAATTCACATTCCTGGCTCCGCCAGCCTCAATTACACTCCCGATCAGCGTCAACAGCGCCGATTTCGCCCTAAAACTCTCACTCCTCAGCAACTTCTCCATCCTCGGCACTAACTTTCTCAATTGCATTGGCTCTGGATCATCAGACATCTCAATTGCCTTCGCCAAACACAGTGCCGCACCGATCTGAGCATTTAAGTCTTGTTCAGTGACTAAAGCTTCGAAAAATGGCTTCATGATTGAGGAAAAAGGAGGTCTGGCCAAGTGTGAGGAGAGAGAGGCGGTGGCGGAAATGCAGGCGGAACGGACGGCGGAGTCGGGGTCGCGGAGGCGGCGGATGATGGAGGAGATGAGTTTGGGGAGGAATGGAGAGATGGAATCGCCATGGGATTCGGAGAGGAGGGAGATGAGGCGGAGGCATTGTTTGCGGACGGGAGATTTGTCGGCGGAGTCGGTGGCGGAGACGGCGGAGACGAAGGGCGGGATGGTGGCGGAAGAGAGAGTCTTGGCGATGGATTCGAGTTCCACGGCGGCGGAGGAGTGGGTGTCACGGTCGGAGAGCTTGTGGAGGCACGTGAGGACTCGGTGCTTAAGGTCCCGAGTTGAGGCCGCTTGGTTTTGTTTGGAGAGTGACATTATTGAAGAAGAGAGTGTTGGTGGCGGTGGAGGTGGTGGTAGCGATCAGTCGGATAGTGGTGGTGGCACAGCCTGTATTTCCGGCGACATTGGCTGATTAAAGCGGTGGTGAAGGTGTGTTTGGTTTTGGTTGCGGCTGTCTGACACTTTTTGAGGACTTTGTTCAGAGCTTATAAAGAAGTGGAGACCGTAAGAAGAGCATCAGAAAATTTTACTTTCTACCTTTAAATCTTAATTCTATTTCTATTAAATACTTATATTATTATTTTTATTTTTTTGGTGGGAGCACATAGGCCCGTACAATAGTGCAACACAATGACATCTCTTCCTCTAAAATAATTAATGCGAGACAATGTCTCACATATCACAGCATATGTCTTATAGTTGAAGTTTAAGATCGTGAGTAATTTATCTTTCGTAAAAATTTTAATCTTGACGTAAATGTTTTATTTTTGATCGGATCGGAAAGAGAATTAATCGAGATACAAATAAACTGACTCTACCATCCTTGATTGCTGAATAAAAAAAAGTAGATCATGAGTTTGAACATGTAATAGTGTCCGACCAAAAAAAAAACATTGAATTTGTAACGAGCTTCTGCAATTGATAAAGTAAGAAATCACAAATTAGTGTATAATAAGAAAAATATAGTAGTTGGGGGATAATATGAAATATAAGTACAGTTTGAAGGGATTAAAGTGTAATGTTTCTTAAGAACACTGGTCAAAAAAGCCGTTAATTTTCAGTTTGTTACCGAATTGAAAGAAACGACAACGTTTAAAGAGTTAATCAAACTATATCGTTTTTGCTATCTTGCGCGCCTTTTTTTGGGGTACGATTCTAACATGGCTCAATTACTTTTTTCTCTAACATTCTCTTGCCTCTGTTTTTTTTTTTTGGCCCTTTTCCACATAGATCAGTAATATTAGCTAAACTTTCTTGGTTTGACATACAACCCCATTGAACTTTTCTTTTATTTATTTTTTTGTTAATGAGAAATTACTCTTAAGGTAGAGACACTTTGCAGTTATCCTCGCTAAAATAAATATCAGATGCATACAATAACCCGCAAATTATAAATATCAATTAAGTTTGGAAGATCTACGATTTGTTCAAGTCCAATCCCACACCCTTAGAGTACCATAATTTCTATTTTAATTGCTTAGGTTCATAAATGGGAGTCTTTGTGTTCATTGATGTTGAGAGTAACACTAACCCACTAATTAGATCTATGATATGTTGGATCCTTCATATGGGATGAGGACCCCAAGGGCACCGATTCAATAATGTTATACTTATCAAATTTTTTATACTAAGTGATGTGACACAATTTCTATCATTAAATATTAATAAGACCTATTTATTTGATGATAAAAATTATGTCACATCACTTGAGATGAAAAAATTTGATAAAAAATCTTAATTACCATAGCATTGTTGGACACTATTTATTCGTGAAGTGAAGAATTGATTTTATTTTATTTTTGTTGGGGGTAGAGGGGGCATTTTAGGAATTACATCGGGTAGTTAATGTAGTTAATTTGTCAAAGCATAGTGAGGAGAGAGTGGTGGAGAGTATTATGCAAGTAACAGTGCTGTCAATCAAGCTGCTTAAAATTCTCCTCTTCAAATTATTACCCTGTCATGATTAATTTTGTGTTATCTGCTCAACAGACGAAGGTTTCTACAACCTTTTTGAGACTCAATTTTTTTTTATTTAAATTCATTAGTTTTAGATATAGTTTTAAAACTCAGTCCGAACATCAAGCAGGTGAAGGGACCAGATCAATGGACCACTAGTTAAACCGTTGGGTTACTGGTCGGACCGGTAATATTATAAAAAATTTAAAAATAATTATAAATAATAATAAATAGACTAAAAAATCACAATAATTATAAAAATAACATCAAACATATAAAGTTAAGTAGAGAAAAATTATCAAACATGTATCCAATTTCAATGTATTTAATTTTCAATACAAACAAACAAAGATACTTAACACCAATTTAGACATGAAATCTAACACAAAAGAACTCTTTAGAATAGTTAAATTAAGCTCATTTTGTGTGCAATTGTTCATTCTTTCTTCTAATAAACCCATAATCAAAACCAATTTACAATTTTATTTCTTTCGTTTTCCTTCATTTCTCAGCAACCAAACAAACCGAAAACTGAGAATAAACATCCATTCCAAGTGATAAGTTCATACAAGCCCCAACTTACTCATAATGCATTACAACATGAGATAAATTAACCAAAAAAAAAAAACGTATCGAACAAAATATACAGAATTTACAAAATCATAAATCAAGAGAGAGAGAGAGAGAGAGTTAGTAGGAAGGTGCAATTACTGGTTCGGAGGCATTAAAGTTTCAATTGGAGTATTTACAAACAAATAAAGGGTTCCTGTGTTGGTGGATTTCTTCCCCTTGAATGGTCTTGAATTTTTTAAGTTGTTTTGGTGGCTGAATTTTTTCAATTGGTTCCTGTGTTGCTGTATTGATGCGAGAGGGAGAGAGAGGGAAACTCACACTGGTGGTACTGGGACTGTAGTCACTGTTGGTGGAACCATGGAGGCGAGGTGGTGGTTAGAGCCAATCAATTGCTATTGATCGCTGTTGCTCGTTGCTGCTCTGAACTACTGGAGGCGAAGTGGTGGCCGTGGGTGGTCAGCCGTTGGGTTGGTGGTGGAGGCGAGGCTTTGCGATTGAGTTTAGGGCAACAACACAAGAGGAGATAAAATAAAAGTGAAAAAAAGGAAAAAAAAACAACTCAGATTTATATAATGACATTAACCCGCCCGGTTTGATAAATTCATCCTGTTCTTTTGGCTTCACCGGTTTTTGACTAGTCCAACGAGTTTACACCGGATTCTGTACATAAGCAGTTTTTTATTAAAATCGTTCTGGTTAAGGGACCGGTTCTCCGGATTGACCCGCCGGGTCGGGCCGAATTTTAAAACACTAATTTTAGAATTTTCACAATTTTTTTTTATTTTAATTTGAATCAAGAAAATAATCACTGTGGATTCAAGATATATTTGATATTTGTAATCATTCTCAAGTCACATAATGACTCAAGTATCGTGAGCGAAATGTCTTTTTTTAATAAAGAATAATCGTCTCAATTATGTATATATATCATTTAGACCCGTGACAACAATGTAAACTATAGATGCATACAATAACGGGTTAACCATTCTCATCGAGATAACAACATATTGAGCTTATAATCTCGAGATAGTACACCTTTAAAACTTTTCCCACCCAAATTATTCTAATTAGCTTCTCTATTTCGCTTTTATCCTTACTTAGTCTTTCATGCTTCAAAAATTCCAAATTGTTGAAAATTTTTGGAATCTCTTCATTTACAATAATGTTATTAGAACCAAATTACTGCTTTAATGCATCACAATTATTAAATTAGTTGTGGTTCCCAACAAATAATAAATATTGGGTGTAAGGTGACACCATATTGTAATTATCATGTAATGTCACGACGTTATCATTACTATGTTATGTCATTATTTAATAATAGACTTACAAATGGACAAGGTGAACGCCACTTAGATAATCATCAAATGATATAGCTAGAGCGATTACTAAAATATGTGAAATCCACTTGCTTATCTGTTATTCTTTTATTAGATGATAACACTACGTGTCAATGATAACATCGTGTCACTATTCCGCCCAATATTTTTTTCCCAATGTTGGGCTCAGTGTTAATCTAATAGCTATAAATAGTCAAGAATAATAAATTAAGTTCATGCGGCATTGTTGTTTAACATATTAGTATCAAAATAAGTCCACCTCATTGCCCTTTTTACAATCCATACAAGAAAAGGAGGTGATATGTCATATTTCATACCTCATTTGAACAACCACCCACACCTTATTCATATATTTATCCGTTGTGTGTCTCCATAATCCAATTATTAATGCCAACAAAGAATCAAATCATATATGAAAACGTTCGATAACCTAACTTCCAAGAATTTTCCCTCACTTTCGTAGACGTTACCATTTCTAATGAGTAGAAGGAACAAAATCAAAATGGTTCAAAGCTTTCCAATCAAAATCTTGGTGGGAGTTAACCCAATTTTTTATTTTTTTGGCGGGTGGGAGTCCACCCGTATGGATAGTTTGGAAGGAAAGATCTAAATCCAACTACTGTGACGGAGTATGGGCATGGTTTATGTATTCACGCGTTTATATGGTTAGATAACATGTATGTGTTGCAAGATCTCCGCTCTTCGGTATCGGCGTACATAGGAGTATTAAAATATGACACGATTTGTTAACACGATACAAACACGATTTGAAATTAAAGGGTTTGAGTCTTCCTTAAGCAACCCGTTTAATAAATGAGTGGACCCGACACGACACGATTAATAAACGAATTTGGTATGTATGAAATCAATTAAAAAAAATACACGACACAACTCGTTTATATATCAATTATACACGATTCATACACGACGCGAACCAGATATAACACGACTCGTTAGATACAAATTTATAAACGAGTCGGGTATGGGTGAAATACTTTTCGACACGAACCAATTAAGATCTAACATAAACCCGCTTCATACGACACGATTAACAAGCCTAGACGTACATAATGAAAAAACATTTTCCCAACTTTAAAGAGGTGACATGTTAAATATGATCATGTTATATAAAAACGATAGAGAACCATAATCAATGTGTGGAACATAATTTTTTGCATGAAAAACATATATCACCGATCTGAATGCGACATTCGACTTCCAAAATTGAAGCTTATCAAAGCTAAAAAATTATATTTAGTTAAACTAGTATTCTAACATTAAAGAGGTTACACTATGATTAAAAAAAAAATGTTATTGATGGTAATTTACTAAAGCTTATTTAGTTGAACCTACTATCTCAACCTCCTCAACTACCATATATTTTATAGAAATCCATATAGTTTCCAATGTCATGTCTTTTGTGTGGAAGAAAGGACATTTGTTTGTGTAAAGTTGTCATGACTTTGAAAGTTGAATGACAATGTATTTGAAAAAAGGAAGAAGAGAAAAAGGGATTAGAAAAGGGTAAGAAAAAATGAGGTCTAATAATTGGTTAGCTTTTGATTTGAATAGAAAA